AGACTTATAAAAAATGGTACTAATAGCTGCCTCGCTTGGCGTTCAGCATTAAGAGCTTAGTGTCAGGACTGGTTGACCTGGTGTCAGGATAATATGACTGGGTGGGGCATCATGCTACATATCTGGAGCATGATGCCCCAGTGCTAGAGATCACTATAAACTGCCACATTGAAGACCTGGTAGCGAAATTGTTAAAGCTACGTTAAAAATCCAAAGCACAAACACATACACATGCACGCACGTAAACACACAAGGTAATGACTGATGCTTTATAATTATTTTTTTCAGTTTTATATGCCTGTCAGAATTTAGAACGAGTGCCACACAATACTGCGATAATTTAAAAACGAATTTCTTAAGAGATTTTTTTTTTAAAATGATGAATAGGTTATGCTTATGCTATCACGATGGAACATTTGTTTTAGCAAAATATTTCCATGATAGATTGGGAACGCATCATTTTGTTGTGGGATTTTTTTGTTGTTATACAATGCTTTCGACACGGTCTAGAGTGGCAAATTGCGTATTCGCGCCTTCGAATCACGGAAGATTGTCACAAAATAATTGTTTAACAAATATCACGAAGACTCTATCAATTGGAAAAAAATTCAGAAAACAAAAGTATTTCTGACGACGAAAGGCGACTTATGTATATTAAAGCGGAATCTCAGGTATATGAGACACAACTATGCTCACCCCACATCTTGGAAAAAAAAAGCAATGGTACGGTCTCGGTCTATTTAGAGTATGTTTCCTAATTGCTTTTGCAACCACACAAAACATAAGGCTTTGCAATAATCTCAAACAAATTCACTCATGCAAGAGGAAATAAAATCCACTGTATCATTGATATGGTTAAATCTGGAAAGCAAACTCGGGAATTAATATTTCGTATTTGTGTCTAATTTACAGTCCTTTGAGATGTTTGCGAAATAAAAGATTAACACGCTTAAAAAAAAAAAACCTGATTTACGAAAGAAGATTGCATAAGTCTGCCCTTAGGTACCAATACCTTGAACTAAAATCAGCGTAATGTAACTATTGACAAGCTTCTGTGTGATGTAACTATCGACCAGCTTTGATAGGATTTCACTATTGGCAAGCGTCTGTATGATGTAACTATTAGTAAGTGTCGGTCACTGCGCTATAATCGCTAAATAAGCGACTCTGCTATTTGAGGTATTACAATCCGATTCTGACATTCTTTCCCTACACCGACCATTTCTGAGGACACCTCTGTATGTCAAGAGTAACAAATAGTTCCAAATACTTGGCTCCACTACGTTGATTAATTTCATAGCTTGCTAAGGCCGTTCTAAATATGCCTTGAATATATTTTTTAGCTACGTCAAATTTAACGTTAACATATGTTAACACGTGTATTTTCAAAACGTAATAGCCCATACTTTTTGGAATACGTCCCTTGCCAAATATTTTGTTTCGGAGGTGCGTAGATTTACGTGTTGACAAACTATTTAGTTTCGGAATCAAGCAAATATTGCATGCAGACTGCAATCCCATAATGCAAAAATAGAACTGGTCGGATTTGGGGCGCTCTACAAATATAATGGACTTTGCTGAGAGTAGGGTGAAGTTATTTACATTTGCGACATACAAAGTGTGGAAACTATTGGTTCAGCTCTATGATTCTTTGATGTAATATGGCTGAAATTTCTTTGGATAGTTTACATGTGGAAATTCTACATGATCTAAGCACACAGCAAACTAAAATTACTACTCCACAGCGTTAAAAAAATATCCTGAAATAGTATGAAGTACATTATCATTAGCAGTTATTAAAATAGGAAAAATGAATTTTTCAAGACTAGACGACACCAGCTTCTGAAAGTATAATGATTGAATTACCAAATGTATACAATGCATATATATATATATATATAGATATATATATATATATATATATATATATATATATAGATAGATATAGATATACATATATATATACATATATATATATATATATATATATATATATATATATATATATATATATATATATATATATATATATATATATATATATATATATATATATATCATATCGACTTTATTTTGTTCTATATTTGTACTTCTGAAGTCCAGGAAATGAAACTGAGCAAGTGTAGCTAGCACTTTTTTTGAAAGATGCACATCTAAAGTAAGGCCAAGATGCATAATCTATAACCCATATTATAACAATCAATCATACACCAAAATAAAGGAAATTTAAAGTTTTTTCAACAATACCTAAGATATACAAAATCTTGATTTTAAATAGCCAGTTTACCCAATGATGAAATACGGGAAATTCCCATTCTTTAAAATTCGAGACCTGTGAAAAATACGAAAGTGTAGAGCGCCATCTTTTGAGAAAACACCGGAACTTTTAAAGTTTGAGTTTCTGTGTGATGTGTTTATTGACAACGTTGATTATAATATTATTTACGTCACTATATGTTAATAAAAATATTACTTTTCGTCACCAAAAAATGTTTTAAACAATTAGTACTCTCATTAACACTATTTACTCTGAGGAATTTAAGCTTGAAGCCACTTCCTCTAAGCCCGTTCTACGACCGCAAGAAACACAATTTCCTTTTAATAATTTACTGGATCAATAAAACTATAAAGTAGGGTGTGTTAATGGTAAAGAAGTCGAATTATCGTTGGAATACAAAGTAACTGTTCACACGTGGTCTTTAAAGAGAACGAAATACAAAAATAACTGATTGGTTACCATGGCACTAGTACTAGCAGCTACCTTGGTAGGTGCTCAGCATTAAGAAGTTAGTGTTAAGACTGGTCAGCCTTGTGTCAGGATAGTTTGACTAGATTGGACAATATGCTACATGTCTGCGGCATGATGCTCCAGTGCAAGACATCACTATAAACGGCCACACTGCAGGCATCATTGCGATATGACTAAACAATTATTAAAGCTGCGTTAAAATCCAAATATCACACACACACACACACACACACACACACACACACACACACACGATTTATATATTTCCAAAAGGAAATAAAGGTATGCGAAAGTACGTTTCACAACACATTGAGACACATACATATTGTTGCTTAACAAATTAACAAATCTCTACAGAATTGTTTTTGAATCGGTATTATTCTAGTTTTTATTTCTCATTCTTCTCATTGGAAGCATATTGTTCCTTCTTCACGTAGTGTGGAAAATACATTTTAACGTGGTGCAAACAGATTGAATATAACCTCGTTACCGATAAACGGCGCTTGTCATACGACTGACATTTTCTCAAGCCATTTCCTTAAGCCGATTTTCAACCGTCTTCAAAACATTAACTAGGAGACAGTTTGTCGTTTATGTCCGATTTCAGACTATTCTTGTCGGAAGTGACGCATTAGCTGGGGAAGGAGTTTCATTAGCGAATATGACTTATTATCACATGCCTTGCGAAGAAATCCGAATGAAATCACGACATTTTGGACACTGATTAATATCAGAGCATAATTGCGCTCTAGCTTCATATTTTACATTGTTAGATTTTTAAATCAAGAAATACCCAGGATTTCATCACTGGTGATACTGCCTATTAAAAAAAAAATAAATGTTAAAAAATATTAATTCCAGTTATTTTTGTGTATGATTGACAGGTGTGTTTTAAGTGTGCATGTTGGGTTCTAGAGAATACAGTTTGGCCTTATTTCAGATGTGAACTTATAAAAAATAATGCTAACTCCGCTTGGTCATTTTCACTTTCTGAACTTCATAGCCAGATTGTAAAAATAGAGCCAATAACCTTTGTACATTTTATAAATTATTAATTCATTTTTGAGATGCAGGTATAGTCTAGTCTGGTAAAATTCTTTACCCGTCCCTCCCCTCAATTTAATAACCGCTAAAGATAGTATACCTTAGAATAACTCAGGCTCATTTGTCGAGCATATATGAGCAGTCGTTTTGGTTAGCTCTGTGCTTCGACCATGTACAATTTCCACAAATACAATATAAACAATTTCAGCCACCGTAAATTAAAGTACCACGGACGTATGCCAACATTCTTTTCATTCTGAATGTAGCAAATGGTAACAACTCCACCTTTTTCCCGTCATTCTCAGAAGTTTAAACTATCTGTAGAGCGCATCCTATCCCATCACTGACGCATAATATTAAATTCACCTGCTTATTTCCTAATCAAGCAAACATGGAGTTCAGACCTAAATATGTTGTACATAATTCTGGAAATGGATATCCGGTTATGTTATGTTTTTTTTATGTTGTTTCCGGTTAAAGCATTTCATTCAACAGAGAACATATTTCTTTCGAAAAGCATGCTTTAGTTGAATTCATTGGTACAAAGCAAACAAATAAAAAGTAACCCATAAAACAACAGATCAACGACAGATACATTACGAACCGCTTTCTGTACGAAAATACTTAAGAATTGTTGTATATCTCCTTCATATCTCCTTCATATCATTTCCTTCCGTTAGAAAAAATATTTCAATCGAAGAGGACTACAAAATATATATTTTTCGAAACATATATTATCTAGAAGACTTTTGTTTATCGATATATCTTGTATTATGTGCTTCAAAGAAAGAAAAAGTTTGATGAGTTCAAGTACATGCTGAATTTTAGCAACACCTGGGATAAAATGGATGCATAAATATTGGACCAGACAAAAAAAGAGTTCTCGGGACAAATGATTTAAAATTATTTAATAGTGAATGAGCTGTTTAAAATCTGCAAGTCAATACAAATGTGTGTGTGTTTGTGTGTGTGTGTGTGTGTGTGTGTGATTTGGATTTTTAACGAAGCTGTCACCATTTTTCAGTTGTGTCTGCTGTGTGACCGCTTATAATGATGTATAACACTAGCGCATCATGCCGCAGACATGTGGCATCATGTCCCATTCAGTCACATGATTCTGACACCAGGCTGGCCAGTTCTAACACTAATCTCTTAATGCTGATCGCCTAGCCAGGCATCTGTTAGCACCATTTGTATGTATTTGATATGACTCAGCCGGGGATCTAAACCGCGACCACCTGCATCAGAGGTGGAGGCTCTAACCACTAGGCCACCGGAGTGGTCAGTACAAGAGAGCAAGTCAATACTAGAGAGAGCAAGTCGATACAAGAAATCCAATCAATGATGTCAAAAACTCTGTAGATTTCGCTGATGGACAAATTGACAGGTGTGAACAAACGAATTATAAGATATTACTTAATCATATTTTAAGTACAATCATATACTCTCAAATATCTAACATTGCAGAAAAAGAACTCCAGATTATCGTTTATGTCTGTATTTAATCGCACACACACACACACACAAACACACACATACACACACAAATACACCCACACTTGTATCAGCAATTTTTATTCGCTGTATCAAAACAATTGCTTTAACAGATATTGTCAGAAATTGTGAATGACAAACTGTGTCGGGTAAGTTTGTTTTGAATAGCACGGAAACGGTATCGCAGAACAGCATGGTAAGATATTTGTAAACGATTGTACCAATTTTAATTGAGAGATGGCAGAATTGTATATGTGAATCTGAGGAAGTCATGGGGGGTTGGGTTTTTGCATATGCCTCCACTGAAGAAGTAGTGGAAGGATTGTGCAAATAGATAACTGATCAATGTTACATCATGATACTTGAATACATGGATTACTGACTATGGAATGCATGGATTACTGAATACTTGTACATATGATATGTATATATGTTTTAGTGTATATGTATGTGTGTATGTGTATGTGGGTGTATGTGTATGTGGGTGTATATATATATATATATATATATATATATATATATATATATATATATATATATATATATATATATATATATATACATATATATATATATTTATATATATATATATATATATATATATATATATATATATATATATATATATATATATATATATATATATATATATATATATATATGTGTGTGTATATGTGTATGTGTGTGTATATGTATATATATATGTATATGTGTATGTATATATGTATGTATGTGTATGTGTGTATGTATGTGTATATATATGTATGTATGTGTGTATGTGTATATGTTTGTGTGTGAATATGTATATATATATATATATATATATATATATATGTTTATATATATATATATATATATATATATATATATATATATATATATATATATATATATATATATATATATATATATATATATATATGTTCTTTTATGTTTACAATGTTTTACTCTATATCAGTATTTTAATTTAGATGTATGGACTATGCAGTCTGAAATAAAGAATTCTTATCTTATCTTATCTTATCTTATCTTATCTTATCTTATCTTATCTTATCTTATCTTATCTTATCTTATCTTATCTTATCTTATCTTATCTTATCTTATCTTATCTTATCTTATCTTATCTTATCTTATCTTATCTTATCTTATCTTATCTTATCTTATCATGCACGATTACCCTCGGTACACCAAAAGATGGTGTGAGAAAATAAATCAGTAGAAACCTGACATCCTGTTTGAGTGTATCGTCTGCAACAATTTTTCATGCCAAATTCGTCAAATTAATATATACTTCGTGAGATTGCACATTATATGCCTTTGTGCATTCGAAACCCTTCTGAATTAGTTTGATTCACTTTCCAAATTGAAACCATTTTCCTCGCATTCGTCACTTTGCCCAACCGCACGTTTAGTAGAATAATCTATGTAGAATAATCTATAAATGCATACATATGAATCTACAATACGTTCTGGCAAGATGACGACATTACTAGGAGTACCCTTATGGATTACTGAGTGTATGGAATGCATGGATTACTGAATATATATAATGAATGACTACTGAATGTATAGAATGCATGGATTACTGAATTTATAGAATGCATGGATTACTGAGTGTATGGAATGCATGGAGTACTGAATGTATACAATGCATGGATTACTGAGTGTACGGAATGCATGAATTACTGAATATATATAATGCATGGATTACTGAGTGTATGGAAAACATGGTTTACTGAATGTATAGAATGCATGGATTACTGAATGAATAGAATGCTTGGATTACTGAATGAATAGAATGCATGGATTACTGAATATATATAATTAATGGATTACTGAGGTTAGAGAATACATGGATTACTGAATGTATAGAATACATGGATTACTATGTGCATAAAATGCATGGATTACTGTGTGCATGAAATGCATGGATTACCGACGTTTTGGCATACATGGATTACTGGATCTATGATGGATTACTGAGAGTCAGGAATTCATGATTACTGATTGTATGGTATGTATTGAATGCATGTAATGCAGGATTACTGAGAGCATGGAATTTGCATGGATCACACAGTTTAGTAATGAAGTCATGTATTTCTTTCCATTGATAACTAATTCTTAGATACTTGTTAGCTGAGCTGTACGGGAAAGACAATTTACTAAGTATACGTGAAAGACAATACACCAAGTATTCTTGAAAGACAATACACTAAGTGTACGTAAAAGATGATACGCTAAGTATACGTGAAAGATAAAATACAGTAAGTATACGTGAACGAGAATTTACTAAGTATACGTGAAAGACAATACATAATGTATGCGTGAAAGACAATCCATCAAGTATAAGTGAATTACAATACACTAAACAATCGTGAAAGATAATACACTAAGTAAATATGAAAGATAATACACTAATTTCACGGGAAAGACAATAAACTAAGTATACTTGAAAGACAATACACTAATTGTACGTGAAAGACAATACACTAAGTCAGTGTATCCCCCAGGAGTGTAAAACTGAGGGTCAAAAAAACCTCTTGGTGTCAGAACTGGGGGTTAAATAAAAAATGTGGGGTCAAAAATGTACCGACAAATTTTCATCTAATCCATACTTTTTCAGCTGGAATAGGATATTGCAATTTGCACAAAATAATCTCTCTCTCTCTCTCTCTCTCTCTCTCTCTCTCTCTCTCTCTCTCTCTCTCTCTCTCTCTCTCTCTCTCTCTCTCTCTCTCTCTCTCTCTCTCATACCTCTCATACAAAAAAACCTACAGGCACAATTAACACAAATGCATTTTCCATTCAAGGGATATTTTTATTATTTCCTTTTAGTTTAAAGTCGTATTTTTAACAGTCTCTTTATAATTTGTGTAGCAATATTATAGACCAACACATTATAGTTAAGCCAATACAAAACTCCACATATCTTATTAACAAAACAACAGTTAATTTACTGCCTATCATAAAAGGTGTACTATCATCAGTTTCATTGTACATCGTCCTAAAACACATTTATCCAAAAATCAGAGGGCAATGATTCATCTTCTCTTTAACAAGTTTCACTTGAAACTTTTACATCTTTCTTTCGTTACAGCAAAGTTAACAAAATCTGCAACAACCCCCTGAATAATCCAAATAATGAATTTGTCTCTGCAAGTTTACTTATTTATTTGTTCTGAAAGAATATCTTAGGTAATCATGTGTTCAAAAGATCTCTTGTGGTGATCATTGGCAGATTTTTAAAATTCTCAAAGGATGTCACGAAAGGATTATTCACTTGTGTAGTCTTCGCAATCACGAAATCACACCGGTAATCCCTATGCCTTGGATGTGCCGTATTCTAGTCAAGAGAATATTTTATCCGTTTTTTATTAGAGTCAGATCCACATTTACTCTTTTGTGTTCTGCTTTTTTCAATTTCTTCGCTAATGATTCTTAGTGCACGCTGTTTTCATCTCGAGATCACATTTTAGTGCAAAAAGAATTAAGGGTAAACATCCGGACATCTTGCTGAACTCGATAGAATCGCGTGAGAGCTCACGAGATCAGGGGCAGCTAATCTGTCATAATATTGCCTAATGGTAGTCTGGTTCTCTGCTCTGTATAGTCAGTATTACAGTGTGCAACACAGAGAGCATACGAAACAGGAAACCGGAAGAAGTATTCACGATGCCATCCCTAATGATGTATAATCGAGGTATACACGATGCCATTTCTAATGCAACGCGTTGGATATTAAATAAATCGTGATTATATTTTGCAAATCCTTTGCGTCAAAAAAAAAAACGCACAGCAAAAATTTCTGTGCGTCAATTTTCTCCAGCGTGCGTCCCTGACGCACAACTGTGCGTAAAGGGAAACACTGCACTAAGTACACGTGAAAGACAGTAACTAAGTATACGTGAAAGATAATACACATACGTGAAAGATAATACAGTAAGTATATGTGAAAGACAGTAACTAAGTATACGTGAAAGACAATACACTAATTATACGTGAAAGATAATACAGTAGGTATACGTGAAAGACAGTAACTAAGCATACGTGAAAGAAAATACACTAATTGCACGTGAAAGACAATAAACTAATTATACGTGAAAGACAGTAACTAAGTATACGTGAAAAATAATACACTAATTATACGTGAAAGATAATACAGTAGGTATACGTGAAAGACAGTAACTAAGCATACGTGAAAGAAAATACACTAATTGCACGTGAAAGACAATAAACTAATTATACGTGAAAGACAGTAACTAAGTATACGTGAAATAAAATACACTAATTGCACGTGAAAGACAATACACTAATTATACGTGAAAAACAGTAACTAAGTATACGTGAAAGATAATACACTAATTATACGTGAAAGATAATACAGTAGGTACCCTAGAGCCATTTTGTTTTTTTTCCCAAAGTTATAACTATTGGCTGTCTAAATTGGACTTGATTTCATGGGATGGCAAATTCAATGCTCGGAATTTTCCTTAAGATTTGTTCGGTTTTCTCCACACTAAAAAGACACTATAGCAAAATTTAAACTATGAAAAGTCCTTTGGTTCAAAGGTCGTAACAGAATCTCAAGCAATACATATAGAGTAGGTTTAAACATTTCTTACAATGGACATAAAAACTTTAATTAAAGAAATTTTAATCTTTTTATGTGATCTAGTTGAAACTTTTTTATTATCCTGCTTTGATAAGGGTTTATCATCACGTTAGAGAGAAGGAGCCTCTCTAATGGAGGGACAGATATCTCTCCACATCAGCTAAGAAGGAACAGATAT